CCTTACGGACCCCCTCCCTTCTGTCTGCCCTGCCCTGAAAGGAGTTTGTAAGTGTGTGTAAGTGTGTGTATGTCTGTGTGTGTGTGTGTGTGTGTGTGGTGGGTGGAGGGCCTCCTGTTCAGTCATTTCTCCAACACACTCATTCAGTGTTATCTGAAAATCGCTTTCAAAGTGCTCCGCTCAGCACTTCCGCCCTCCCCAACGCCACTACAACCACATAATTGAAACTATCTGATTGGAAAGCTGCCAAGCAGGTAGATTACATCCGATTAGGGTGAAACCGGCGCTTCACTTAACGGGATTAGACTGAGATGCTTTATTTTTTTGTTCTTCTCCACACACGGCTCTCATCTATCTGTCTCTGAGGAAGAGGCAGTCAAACCCTCTTTGTCACCTGGGTGTCTGGGCTTCCAGGCTGCTCTAATAGATGCTGCAGCTGATTAGAGTGTAATGGTAAGCTGATGCGGGAGTTTACCTTTGTAAAAAATGTGAGGTTAAGTGAGGTTGGCAAGGTTTCTACACCTACAAGACCATTAGCATCAACAGTACCAGGTGACACATGAAAGAAACCAAACGCTGCACAGTTGCTGTCATACTGCTGCTTGATCCTGGATAATTATCATCAGGGCACCAAAATGGTTCAAAGGATGAAAATGAAAGCTGGAAATAAATAATGTTTAGCTAGGAACAAAACTGACACTGAAAATATAATCATCCTTAACTGTTCTGGAATGTTCGTTTGAAATCTCTGCTATTTCCCCCATTTTGTGTGGCCCACAACTTAACCAGAATTTGAACTAGCCTATTATTTACAGTGTGTCTTACCTCCCAAATGCATGACTCGTATGGTTTTATTCATTTTACGGGCTGTGAGCATCTCAAGAGATGACTGTCTATGACCAAAGGGACCCTTCATTTAACCCTGCCCCTAATTGCTGACTGCCAAATTGTGTGACTGTAACTAAGCATATGAACTTTCAGGACATTCCAACATGCTGCAGTGTTGTGTTTTATTTTGTGAATCAGATATACATTATGGAAAGAGTTTGGACAGTGGTGTGAAATGTATCCATTTCTTAAACCCTAGACACTAGAATTAAACAGTGTGGAACACCGCATTACCGATTAAGACCATTTAAAAATATTACATGAATGTCTGCTCCAAGGTATGTAGCTAAGCTAACTACCAAGTATGGCCAACCAATGAAGTCTTTCTTTGTTAATTTTAATGTTAACTCATACAAACTGGATTTAGTATAGCACGTAGTCAAAACAAATGAAATTATGACTTACGAATCCATAAAAGAAAAAAACTACGATGCATTCCAACAGGCAATATCATTGTTTGCTAGCTGTCTTCGCTAACGGTAGAAGTATTTAAAGCTATGCTATGTAAATATTGGGGATTTGGAGACCTATCTGCTGGAAATGTGCAATTTCACGTAATACATGGAAGAATACACACACAATGTTTCTTTTTAAATACTTCACATCTGAAAGAATACTATAATTACATTTTTTTGGATAGGGACAATAAAAGCTGAATCTAACTAAGTACAGGAACTATGCTGGTATTTTATTTATATGTCATCTGCATGTATGTCTTGGTTGTTTGATATGGTATCTCACTTTTGACTGTACTTCGTAAACTTCAGCCTCTGTACCCTTTCTGTACTATTAGACTAGTTAGGCCAGCTAATATGGACTGGGTCCTGGGTATGTGGTCAATACATCATCCCTGTCCTCTTCTACAAAGTTACCATTTTAGAAATACAAAGTTTTGCTACGACAATATGACACTTTTTCTTGGGTGAGGATCCACCTCTGTTCTGAAAAGATCTCCCTTGAGTTAGACCAGAGCAGCAGATTAGGCACACCTTTCACCTGAACCTAAAATAATCCTTCTCCTCTCCCTTCCTCTCCTCTCTTCTCCGAGCCAAGCTGAGGATTACTGTGCCTATCTCCAACCCCCAAAGCTCCATATCTCTACATACTTCCCAACCAAGCTGAATTAGAGAGACCCAAATAGGCATGCCTTTTTTTTATCACAACTTTAATCTTGATTTTTTGGAGCCAAAATCCCCAGCAGTCCCCTCACACTCCCTCCTGATTTGAAGAAAAAAGTTTTTTTTTTCTCTTTTTTGCTCTCTCACTCTTTCTTCATTCCAATCCGTATGTCTTTCTCTCTCCCTCGCTCGCTCTCTCTCTCTCCCCCTTGCTTCCTCCCTCCCCCTGACTCTCTGAGACTTTCATGTTAGGTTGTCTGAACTCAGCCTGTCAGAGAGACCTCAGAAGTCTTGGCTTGGACACAGCGGAGGCTTGTAGAGGATGAATCAAAACTCGCCCAAAACAGGGCCTTTATTAAATCTAATGACCCTCAGGGAATTACAACTCAGAAAGCGCCTAACGTTAGCTCTTTTCAGTCTGAATAATGGAAAACTATTTGTTACAATGGTCACTATAAGTGCTGATTTGGCTATTGTGAGGAGTGTGTGTGGGTGTGTATATTTGTTAATCAAAGGTCTCCGGGAAAAGGAAAACAAAACAAAAAACAAAACAAAAAAACATTTCCAGGCTTCAACCAAACAGGAACAACATACAACACTACAGTCTGAGAACGTACGCACCAGAAATGTGGGACCAGATTGCGAATTGAGTCTTGAATCTTTAGTAGAGAATTTTAGTTTAGTTTTGTTATTAGCTACAGGAATTGCTACGCTACTGAGCTGGACTATGTTGTAGCGAATCGCAACTAGGCTCACTGGAAACTACAACGAATTTTCCACCATGCTTACATCAGCTTGTAAAAGAAACATTCTGGATCTATTCCATTGTGACCTCCCACACACACGCAACACAAATATCATTTGAAATTTATTACACACTCTAAATATCCTGAGTTGTGTGCTACAGTTTCTTGTAAGTTAAAATTGGATTTTGGCCACTGTTCTATAAAGCTTGTCCAACAATAGTTGCTATTAAGAACATTTTGTGGGAGAAGCACTGAGTATCCGGCGAGTGTGAGTTGAGTCTTTAGTAGGGAATTTTACTTTTAACTTAGTCGTTATTAGCTGCAGGCACCACATTGTACAAAAGTAAACCCATTCTAAAAACCTGTCAGGTTCAACATGGCTTCAAATAACAAGGCTTTCATTACCAAAAACCGAAGTGAAGTAAATGCAGTAACATAAAGTAAATACAGGATTTAAAGGAAAGAGGTAAAATGACTTGAAATGGCTGGATAATCTTTCGATTATATGGCACATACACTAGCTGGCTAGAACTGTGTTAGGTCAAAACTATGTGCTAGCCAATAGTTTCAAATTGTTTTGCCTCTTTCTCTGAACACTGCGTTTTCTGCATATAGTGGTTCAATTCTGTTCACGTGACTGAAGGGCTTCCTATAATAAAAGGCTAGATATTTGAAGCTGCATGGAACCTGAGGCTATTGCGAGCTGTGGGTGAACTGCCTTGCAGTAATGACTGTGCGTGATTGTAGCAAAACAAAACAAACATATGTTGGAAATGAAAGGTTTTATTCTTTTACTGAATGAAAAGATTATTGTAAGTCCTAATTTATTCAGATTTGTTTGTGTTGTTTTTTCAGGCTGAATTTTCAAGTCAACATGCAACTCGACGGTGACTTCAGTCTGCACTGTTGACTGGAGTCCCCATCTCATCATATACCTGCTGGTTTTTGGAGACTGCAGTGAGTGATCCACAGACTTCAACAGTTCAAACAGTTCCAAGGGATTTGGTGGCTGGACAGCAGTGGACCTGACGGTCAGAGCACTAAGGTTCAAATGAACATTTAGGCTCTGTGTTGAGTGTGTTTGTTTGACAGTAACAACTCTACACAGAGACTATGGGCCTCACCAAACACATTTTTACCTTTTTAATATACATAATTTTTTCATAAATTCAGTATATCTTACTTTTTATCATTTTCATTCCTTACTCCAATCATTCACTTAATCTTTAGCTAGTTTTTGTCATTCTCTTTCATTCTCACATACACACACACTGCTGATGGTGAATGAGTTCTAAATGAAATCTGAGAGCAAACTGAAGTGATGACTGAAGAGAGCCACTAAAATAATCATTCACACTAATCTGTAATCAGTCACACTAATCTATCAGACCACTGAGAGCAGAACTACCCTTCTGTTTCCTCACTTCCTCAGTTTCTTCAGAACAGAAAGACAATAAGGTCCAACTGACCTTTCAATGCTCCGCCCTTGAACACAAGTCTTTTATAGTTAATGTTGCACATTTGGACAAGCTGCAAAATGTTGGCAAAATTCCAATTTAACTTAATGACTTCAGGCTGGAATATATTTGCTACAGAATGTAAAATGTTTCCAGATTAAAATGCTACGCTACTGAGCTGGACAATGTTGTTGTATCTAAGCAAATCTAGGCATGTTGGAAATCAACAAATTTATGACCATGCTTGCATTAGCTTTAACACAGAGAGAAAAAAAATCTGGATCTATTCCACCTTTTACATACATGCAAAATAAATATTATTTGAAATAAATTACACACTCTAAGTTTCTCATAAGGTTGACCTGGATTTATACCAATGTTCTAAGAAACCAACCTCAAAGTAGTAGCTATGAAAGAATGCACTGGTGGGCGGAGCATCTTTCAAACAAGATTACTCCACCCACTATTAACTAACATTAACCTAAGTGTTTACATTAGATTATCTATGCAAGATTGTGAAGTACCTGTTTAAATATGGTTACCATGTATGAGATGCATCACGAATGAGAGGGAGATAAATAGACGTCAGGGCCGTTTGTGTAGTGTTGATGGAAGTTAAGTGATGAGCTAACTGTCCTCCCTAGCCTCCCCAGTACTGACACAACAGGAAGGGTCAATTTTTTAAGTGTCGATTCTGAAATGACCAACAACACGGCTTGAGAGCCCATCTTTGGTGCAAATGTAAGATCTGTATGTAAAAAAGTTAGTTGTAAATGTGTATATATACTCACTGGTATGCTGCTGGTCCCTGTGAGGGAGGGTGTGCTGCTGTCGGTGCCGGGCGGCTCGCTGTGTGTCTGTGTGGGTGTGTAGATGGTGAGGGCAGCCGCGTGCTCCGGCACCGGGCTGGGCCCTGTGTACTCCTGCCCCGGGTGGGCATACTCGCCCGGCAGCCCGTTCTGGGGCGGTGGAGGGGGGTACTGCGCTGGAGCATACGGCTGAGCCATGGCCTCTGGAGGAGCTGGGGCCTCCTGGTTACCCTACACAGAGAGAGAGAGAGCGAGAGAGAGAGAGAGAGTGAGAGAGAGAGAGAGAGAGAGAGAGAGAGAGAGAGAGTCATCAATTTTAGTCTGAGCATTTTCATGCTTTCATGTCAGTCCCCATTCAGTGCAACCAAAGCCAACAGTACAGCAATAACATCAGAGTATCATGGGCAATGAGAAATGACAGGAGCAATCATGAGTCTGTCTGTCTGCACCCTAATATCACATGATAAGAGAAAATACAGGCTCTAATTTTTATGATCATAATGATAGAATACCCTGCAGAACCCATCCCAGCAGTACCTGACAGCACTAGCAGTGGATATGCACGCTGAATAGCTGCAGGAATTCAACACACAGCACTGATCTTGATTAAAGAAATAGAAACAAACAGAAAACAGACAGAGGTGTAACTGTTCCAGGGTCAATTCTACTAAGTTCATGAACCACAAACAACCTGTAGTCCCTCTGCACCCCAGTCATCCATGAATAATACAGTGCAAATTACAGTAGACTTTAAGCAGCACGTGATGTAATTTTGCTGTTTTATTTCCGCGCCGGTGCTGTAAGGAGGCTGAAAGCCTTTGTCTAGAGCCCACCCTATCAACACCCAGAGCGCACTGGAACATTGTTTGATCATTATGAGCCAACAAACTTTATTTTGTACAACACGCTGAGTGTGGCAGGAGTAAAGGGTCGCTAAATTGCTCTCTTGGCAAGCGCCATGCAGAAGATCAATTAACTGATAAATTTTTGATTATAACCTTTGATTTAAATTACAGGTTTCAGGAGCTGCTGTTTTCCTTTCACAGACCCACGTCTTCTTGCGGCTCCCTTAATTTCATTCACTCTCTCTCTCTCTCTCTCTCTCTCTCTCTCTCTCCCTCTCCCTCTCCCTCTCTCTCTCTCTCTCTCTCTCTCTCCCTCTCTCTCTCTCTCCCTCTCTCCCTCCCTCCCTCTCATTTTTTCAATTTCTGTTTATTTATGTAATGCTTTATTGGTACGACTGTCATATACAATTTTGCCAAAGCAACTCAAGGAGATCCATGCATATTAATGCACAGGTAATCTTGTTATATATGTAAAAGATTACCTGTGAATTGAAATGCATGTGTAGCGGCCAATGATTAAAGAATGACAGGAAAAAAATCACATGGAATGAAATAAAGATCACATGTTGTAGACAAATAAATAAGATTAAAAAATGAACAAATGAATAAATGAATCAACCTTTTCCCTCGCTCTCTCTGTCTCTCTTTAAATGTTAGTATCTATTCCTTTATTTAGCTTTAGTAAAGAGATACCTTTCCCCACCCTCTCTCTCTCTCTCTCTCTCTCTCTCTTACCCTCTGTGTGTTTCAGCATGTAAATGAGAGCGTCGTCTCTTTCTTCTCCTTCGTCTCTGCTGAAGTAGATGTAAATGAGAATCTTTTTCTGTCTTTTGCTCTCATTTGCTTTGAGTCACAGAGGTACACAATGTTTTCTCATCTTATCTAAGAACACTGCGATACACAAGCAGCTCATTTCTCGCTCACTGTCTGTGGGCTGTTTTTTCAGTTACTTTTTTTCCCACTTGGTCATTGTCTGGGCTGTCTAATAAAAGGGGTTCTTTAAGGGTTCTTCAGTGAATGCAACGACAATACACAGAACCACGACAACTTAAAGCCATTTGAATTATCAAATTATTCATTACAGTTAAAAAAAAATGGTTCTTTTCATGTTAGCCATTCTAATTATGCTGAAGTTGCCTCCACAATGTTATGATGGTCAGTTTTTATATTCTACACATATTATAGTCTATGATAACAACAACCAATACTAATGATGATTATTATTGTTATTACTGTTATAATTATAATAATAATTATTATTATTGTTGTGGCATCTTCATGATTGAGAACCTTTAAGAGGGTCTTTATGACACTAAATTGTTACAACTTTGTTTAGGTACCATAAAGAACCCTTCATTCTTTAAAAAAGTGCCATAAAGTGATGAGCAATGCCACCCAACAACCACTTTTGGTTCCCTAAAGAACCATATTTGAAAAAAGAGATTTATGAGTGTGAAAAACCTTGAAGTTTAAAGAACCTATATATAACGCAAAGGTTCTAGTGATTGGCCTTAAATGTAAGTGGTTGGTCTTAAAGAAGGTGTAGAACCTTCTTTAAACTGTTGAAAGGTTTTTAACACTCACAAATCTGCTTTTTAAACATGGTAACTAAGTCTGGTTCTTTTGGAACCGTGCATTGCTGGTTCTTCAGGGCAGTGGTTGTCAGAGCAGCTTCACATACTCTCTACATTTTTGCTCAACTCAATTTTGCAAACACAAAGGGATAAAGCAAAAATTGTGCCTGGGGCTCCCTGAGGACTGCTTCAAGAGCCACTGCTTTAGAGAACCAAAATGTGGTTCTCCTAATGCATCACACAAAGAACCCTTTCTAGCATCTTTATTTTTTAGACTGTTTTTGGTGAGAGTGTGGGAGTGAGCATGTTTGCTGACAGTTGAGGGCTAATTTCTATGGTAGAGCACCGCTACGTGTGAGTGTTTGTGTATGTTTACGTGTCTGTTTGTCTATGTGTGTTGACAGATGAGGGCTAGTCTCAGGAGCAGAGCGCTGCTGTCAGCACAGGTGCAGTCGGGTCATCAGTACATGCGCTGTGTGTGGGTGCACACACACACCTTGCAGCCACAGAAAAGCTGCTTGTCTGGAGGGACTATCCAGATATTAATCTAATACAAATAGGTGGAGACTGGAGCTCGCCCTCTTGCTCAGCTGATGGCAAAGACAGGCAATAACATGGCTTCTAACCCGGCACTGATACATCACTTTAAGAGGCCAGAGGCACTCCTAATTAATTAACCTCATTGACGAGCTAAAAATGCCAGGCAGGCTTTCTGAATCACCACCGGGTCACAAACTATTCCCCGTTGTAGCACAACAATTAACAGGTACAGTGGGCAGATGGTAAAAGAATATATCCCAAAATAGCCACACACATTACTCATTACATCACTGGAGAGATTATAGAGCTGGAATCCGGCACAATGACTGCAAGAGACCTCATTCTCATTAAGAGATAATGGGCAATGAAAAAAAAAGTGGTAAAGGGAAAACTCTGCAGAATTTTATCTCTTACTTTCTGCCCTGTCCATAACCCATTACACAGAGCTGGTGGAGAGAAAGCCAGTGGAAATAGAGAGGGCTCTTTTTTACCCCCCCCGCCCCCTTCACTTGATTGTTATTAACCTTTTTTCACTGACTAAGCAGCATTAGGCGGCAGCAGTGGGCTGCAGCAATGGGCCAGAGAGGGCTGCAGTTTAATAGGAGTGGGGAGAATTGCATTAATGTAAATGTAGTGGAAACAATGAGAGGCCTGGCCATTGACATGTTGGCAAACAAATGAGTCTGTCCTCTCAATTAGGGGCAATGCTCCATTATCCAAATGAAAAACGCACTCGTCCATGACTGACCGCACGATGGACAGGCGTGCAGGGAGAGAGTGAAAGAGTGAAAAAGAGAGAGAGAGAGAGAGAGAGAGAGAGAGAGAGAGAGAGAGAGGGAGCCTCAGAGGTCAGAAGAATAACAAAACCCTACATTCTCAAAAATTAAAGGCTCCTAAACGGTTCTTGATTCAGAAGTATGGTTCTAGGAAAAAAACGTTTAATTGATATCAAACCATAATTTAGAACATAATAAACTTTAAAACAGTTCTTCACGCTTGCAAATCTAACACAAACATCCCCTAAAAGTTTCCTGGTTGGTTATGGAACCAAAAGTGGTTCTCCTATGGCATCGCTCCAAAGAACCCTTTTGGGCACCTTCAATTTTTAGCGTATGCTCTCTTTTCTCCTCTTCCTTCACGCTCGCTGAAATCTTTGATCATTGCTCTACACCCTCTGCACCACAATCTGAAGCAGCTGTGGAATTGGTGCGTCTACATTTTATTCAATGAAGGTGCGCTCATGTCACTATTGTGTCCCAATGGGGACCAATCTGAGGTGCTGAAGCAGAATTTCAACAAGACTGCAGATGTTCTATTGATCTAATGTGCGAGCATGCCTCTTTCTCTGTCTGTCTGTCTGTCTGTCTGTCTGTCTGCGTGTCCATCTATCCATCCATCTATTGTTATCTTTTCTTCGGTCTTGTTCCCACCTTCCCTTTCTCTTTCTCTTTTCATGTTGCACCTCCAACGCTGTGTCTCGCTCTCTCCGTGGTGGTGTCAGAAAGAGAAAAAGAGCCCATAGCCTGAGGAAGGTATTGTAATTCACTGAAACATTGAGCAGTATTGATGCACTTCCCTGCCTCAAAGCGCCAGTAGGGGAGAGGGCTGTCCAGGCGGTCTGAAAAACAGCGCATAAAGCCAGGCAGAGAGGGCGGGATTGCGGCCCTGCTAGGACTCTGAGAGGAAAGAGGTAGGGGGGTGGAGGTAGGGGTGGTGGTGGTGGTTCATATTGCCCATAAAGTCTGCAGAAAATGTCTGCTGCTCAACATTACGTTATTATTGCTCAGTGTGTTGACTCCATCCCATGAAATATTCAGAGAGGTAAATGGAGGCACAAGCAGCATTTTCCGAAGTCAAACTAAGCGCAAGAGGGCTGCTTTCTTTGCATCAGGTGGGCAGTGAACTTCCCCCATACACAGCAACATATCTTGCTTTTTTTGTCTTTTTTTGCCTTGGTCTTGCACCTGCAAACCTTGTAATGTACTCGCTCATTCTTCCCCAGCACTACCACCAACCGCGCTGTGTGTAGTAGGTTCTATTTCTACCTAGGCTGACCTACGATTTTCCATTTACTCTCTTTCCATTTGTTTTTCAAAAGGTTAAAAGAGAGTGACCTGGGAAAGCTGATGCCTGATTACTTCCCATTAGTCCAGCATGTGGTCACTGAGAGCCTGCGTGATGGCCTGAACCCATAACTCCGCCACAATCAGAGTACAGGCCACTGGAATGGAATGCAATGGATCTGTCCATCATATGGGTGGACAGAGAGTGG